TTGGAGTCAGATGGATTGTACTTCATTCCTTTGCTCAGCACGTTCTCTTCGGCTGTCGTCAGTATTCGTGATGATAAGTTTATAACTTTCTTCGAGGATGAAGAGTCATTGTAACCTTTTCTAGAAATGGCCATCCATTTTTTGTCCAAAACATTCTTCTTTTTAAGACGCTCTAGTTCCGAGACATGTGTGATGGTTTCCTGTAGGGTTTCAAATACCTGGGGAGGAAGTCGGTCAATGCAAAATTGCCTGTGTTGTTCTTTCTGTTCTGTGAATTTACGAAGTCGGTGGTGCGCGTCAGTTATGATGCCACATACAAATTTCTCAAGGACAAATGGAAGCGAGCGCAGCCAATGCCGAAGGGATGACGAAATCGTTGACGCGCATTGGCGCAGACTTCGGCCAACCATAGAATCACTTGTTTGACACGGTTAAATAGTTAACTGTTTTTGTACATTGCCCAAAAGTCTGACGACGAGCTGGGGAACCAGACTCGAAAATTTACTCATTAAAGTTTGTTCCCTTCCCAAAGAATCTTACTTATTTTCAAATATATATATATATATATATATATATTGGAACCTCACTAGGTTACCAGCATGTTTGAAGCCCTCTATAGTTTTTTTCCAGTGGAATTATGTTTGTATTCGTTACCGATAGTCTGAATCATGCTCAGAGAACCTTCGAATTGCTTTGATATCATGTCTCCTTGTTTTTTCTCTGCAAGCCTCATTGGGAGAAAGATCTAGCTTATTATTTAGTGTAGTGGTTTCTTCACAGTTTGAATCTTGTCTATCTATGGTCAGTTGTAAGATACAACCGGCTTATGCTTGTAGCTTCTATTATGCATTTTTAATGTTTAATAGATAAAGGCGCAGTGGAAATTTGCAGAAGGGGTGGTAGATAAGACCGCTTAGGATTTTAGATTGACCAGAAAATCTTGTTAGCTGAGAAGTCTAATTACTTGTCCCAAGCTCTTTCAGAGATTCCCTTTCTGTGAAAAAGTTATGAAGTCAGAATGGGTTAACCATATGCCCGATGAAGCTGAACAAGAGCTTTTCAAACTGCAACAAAATCTTGTTCAAGGAGGTTTGGATAAACGTTCATGTAATATCGATTTCAGTATACTTTTAAGGAGATTAGGCATAGTTTTGAAACAGTTCTGCATGCCAGTTTGACATATGGCAATAATACTCTCCACTCAATTCTTCTGCAACTCTGCCGGAAATAGATTTTAACGTTAGGATGTGGTTATTTATTATCAGAGTATACCCATCTGCTCAGGCGACATAAAACAACGTTAAACGACAAATGCTAATAACGAGCTTATTTAAGTTCATTTATAAACGTCGTTCCTTAACTAGTTAACCAGTCGCCGACATATAGGCCGTTGGGCGACATCAAACAAACTGAATTTCTAAAGCGATGCCCAGCATGAGTAAACAGTGACTTTGTTGTTAGCCTCGGAGGTAGTATGCGGAATGATTTTGTCATGGTACAGTGGCCGACATCTCTAAGCTACCAGAATCACTAGGCATTGAAAACGGACGGATAGGACAGCATTTTCTGGATCATTTGTCTCTGAGTTGAAGCCTGATGGTTGCCTCCGGCCTGTGTGCAGGCCCAACTCGAATTGGAGTATGATGGACACTGACGGCCTCCTGGAGTTCTTCACGCACGAAAGAGCTCACCGAAATTAAGGATCGGTTGGACATAAACTTTGCTGTCGTTTGCGTATGCACTGGTTGGTAAAGTTGCGCGGGTAGTAATAACTTTTTAGTACAGTATCTTCGACGGGTAATGACGGCTAATGGCTAATCGTACAACTTCATCAATCAGTACATACGCAAACGACAGCAAATTTTAAGTCCAACCGATCCTTAATTTCAGTGAGCTCTTTCGTGCGTGAAGAACTCCAGGAGGCCGTCAGTGTCCATCATACTCCAATTCGAGTTGGGCCTGCACACAGGCCGGAGGCAACCATCAGGCTTCAACTCAGAGACAAATGATCCAGAAAATGCTGTCCTATCCGTCCGTTTTCAATGCCTAGTGATTCTGGTAGCTTAGAGATGTCGGCCACTGTACCATGACAAAATCATTCCGCATACTACCTCCGAGGCTAACAACAAAGTCACTGTTTACTCATGCTGGGCATCGCTTTAGAAATTCAGTTTGTTTGATGTCGCCCAACGGCCTATATGTCGGCGACTGGTTAACTAGTTAAGGAACGACGTTTATAAATGAACTTAAATAAGCTCGTTATTGGCATTTGTCGTTTAACTACTACCGCGGATGCCGGTAATAGTAGGACAATGAAAACGAAGCCGCCGATAAGGGCAGACTCGATTTCCACGCAAGAAGATTTAAGCAATGTCACGAAAAAATTACCTGGCGCGGATGCCAACTCGTCTACGCCTCTTGCTATATGCTACGGGATTTCTCTATTGCTAAGAGGCCATATAACTATGTCAGCAAGTCTACTGTTGCCCACTTCTTCTCGCAACCACCCCGACTGCCCTACAGAGCACGCATTTGAATGCGAACACAGGGGCCCCTGAGTAGGCGTGATAAGGAAACTCCATAACAGGAGTCTGGAGTCACAACCAGCCCTTATGGGTTGCTCGGGACAGTCAGTCGACAGCAAAAGTGTGCGTCCAAGCGAGGAATCCTTAAATCGTTCTCGCCCACATGCAGAGAATTCACCGCAAAGACAAAATAAGGAGGACCGGGACCGCCAACAGTGTCCGGTTATTCAGGGCTTGTCTGAATCGAATGCAGTCAGACCTGAAGATCGTATCCCAGAGGATTTTGCTTCTTTTCATGGTCTACTGAAGTAAGCATTCCAGGCAGACATGGAAATAAAGGTTCTGAAAGCATTCCGGGTAGGAAAACGGAGTGAAGACAGGACAGCAGCACAACCACCTCGCCCTCTCAAAATTATGCTGGTGAATAAAGAACAAATCAAGTTGATCCTCTCTAAAAAAACGACCGCAGAAACACACAAAAACAGGTTTTTTCATTCGGACTACTCATAAGCGGAACGGCTGAAACACCGGGAACTCGTATTGGAGTTAAAATCGAGACTGAAGGGTGGCGAACACAATCTGGCTATCTTCAAGGGGAAAGTAGTTTGGAAAAATATGGCGTCTCAGTGGAACCAGTCAGTAATACTAAGAACGACGGCAACTACTCAGCTAAAGCAGACACCTTCGTGGAAACAGCCGCTAGGGGCGACAACACAAGTAAACCCTTAATGTCCAGTACTCTGACTGAAGCAATGGACATTAATCGAACCCATCAAGTAACAGAAGAGCCCAGAGACAATGGCGTCTGTGATTACGTAGTAATGCTCAAAAACAGTGACGAATGCAGCCGGAAATTCGGCTGGTGCAAAATTGAGGCGCTTGCATATAAATGCCCAAAGCCTCGTATCGAAACTGGATGAGCTAAAACTTTGCCTTGCCGAACTGCCTCTGGATGTTTTAGCATTAACCGAGACCTGGCTGTCCGGGAATATTAGCGATAGTAAAATAGCCTTGCCTGATTACCGAATTTATCGGGGAGACAGGGAATATCGTTAGGGTGGTGGAAGGCCTGAAAGTGCCGGAAAATACCATCAAGTTTGTGTGCAGCAGGGAACTTACTTAGTTGACCACCAAGGCCACTGGTTCCCCTAGTATCGATGCACTCACTGTCTATCAACCACCTAGGACAGCCCAAATCACCGACACTCAACTATTGGAGCAGTTGGAGTACATTTGCGGTCTACATACGATCATGATCATGGACGACTTCAAAGCATCAGGAACAAACTGAAACACCCTCCAAGCGTCAGGTCCAAAATCGACGTTCGATTACCGTCTGTTGAATAAAACAGTAAAGGCATCCCTCACACAACATGTAATGTTTCCAACGAGAAAACGTAAGAGACAAAGGACAAACTGTCAGGATCTGGTTCTTACGAAAGCACCAGACGGCATAGACGAGATCATCCCCATGCCGCCGCTTGGCCGAAGTGACCATGTAGTGCTTATATGGGATTATTCGTTATTCGCCATTTCGCATACTCCAGACCAAAAAAGATGCAATGTTTGGCGGGGCGACTTCAATCAGATGAGGGCAGACTTATCCGGTCTCGACTGGAGCTCATTGCTTACGCATAATGCCAGCGATGACAGAGAGTTATTCAAGAACGTCCTTTTTCAGCTCATCAACAACCTCTGACCACTGACTAGTGTAAGACTGGACAAACGTCCTGGGTGGCTAAATAGCAACCTTAAGAAAGAAATCAACAGGATGCACAAATTGTGGAGAAAATACTGCGTCACTAGGCAAGTTGAATATTTCAACACCTAAAAGACACAGAGGAACAAACTGAGAAACATGATGGAAAATATGGCGGGAATTTGAGAAGAAGGCAATGCAGAACCCAAAATTACTCTACAGCTACCTTCGACGAAGTACAAGGAACAGACATCAAATCCCCTTAATAAGGACTACGGATGGCGTTGAGATTGCTGATAGTAGGGATAAAACTACGTATTTTTCACAGGTTTTCCAATCAGTCTACACAAACGAGGCAAGGTTCCTTCCTCCCTCAACAGAAGTACTGCCGACCCCAAGCATGAGTGATACACTCTTCTCAGAAGGCATTGCCCGAAAAGAATTAAAGACATTGAACAAATCGAAGTCGCCGGGACCAGACGAGATTCCACCCAAGCTTCTCAAGGAACATTCCAGTGAACCTTCTGTGCTTTTGTCGATGCCCTTTCAAACGTCATTTGACACTGGAACACTTCTATCGATTGGAAGCTGGCGCTATACCAAGGATTTATCAGGTCATTGACGACAGATTACAGGCCCATAAGCTTGACATGTATTCTCTGCAAAGTTATCGAGAGGATCATAAAGAGTGAATTGATGCACTTCCTGGAAGTTCACGGCCGGCTATCGAACTGCCAACATGGGTTCCAGAAAAGGAAATCCTGCACGACAAACTTGCTGCATTCTCTCCAAAGCTGAACCCGAGCTCTCAACGACAGGCACGCAGTCCACATAGCTTTCATTGACTTCCAGAAGGCGTTTGACAGTGCCACGTCAGAGGCTGTTACACAAACTAAAATAATAGGGATCAGCGACAACTTTCTCAGATAAATCGAAAACTTCCTTGTGGGTCGATACCAGGTTGTGTGCATTGATCAAGGAAAATCAAATCCTGCAGTGGTCGAGAGTGGGGTTCACCAGGCGATCAGTACCAGGATTCATTTAGTTCCCGATATACTAGGACGATTGCGCAAGACCTTTGGACTGTGATGGAGCAACGTTTGCAGATAACATGAAGATATGGAGTGTAATTCGTGGCCCAGCCGACGAACATAGATTGCAGATGGACCTACATCGGTTGAAAGAGTGGTAAGACCATTGGCTCCTGCGTTTTGGCGATGGTAAATGTAGCATAATTAGCCTAATCAACACAGCCAGATCCGCCAGCACAAGGGACTACCTTCTGGACGGTGAAGCATTACGAGACGTCAAAGTCCAAATGACTTTGTTGTGCTGACGATGAGTTCCCTAAACCATCCACTCACTGTTCGAGAGTGGCAAAAAGCGCAATGTCCGAAATTATGTCGTATTTTGAAGGCAGAACTGGCGGAGGAGCACTTGTGAAATAATAGAAATCCACACTAAACTCCGCAGGAATTTCCAGTGAATCCGATTAAAGGGACCCTGGAATGTGACTGCAGGCGGTGAATCAGGCGAGAGCACGAGCAACTGGAATCCAAAACAATAAAGCTCGACAGAGACACACCTATGGAAGGTGGAAAAAAAATACTGGAAAGCGAAAAAGTGGAACCCAGGCAATGCCATATAAGCAGTAGAACCCGAGAATACATTTTTGTCATGTTTTTTTTTGAAGTTGCGTGCAAAAACACTTTTTGCCTAAGCGTGCACATTTGACTGGTGTTTGTTCCGCTCATGGTAAGGGAAACTTTGAGGCATCTACCTGAATCACTCCTCCCATATCTGATGTAATCAAATGGCAAGAAAAGTCTAAACAGATTGTTATAGTTTTGGTGGATGTATCCCGAAGTACGCGTGCGATTCCTGTTGGTTCCTACACGTGTGACTACATTTCAGTTAAGAGGGTCTCTTATTTTCCATCCAGACAGTTGGCATGATGATCAAATTAAAGTGAGGTCATTGTATCCGGATTCAGAGTTATGATCAGGATCGAGTTGGCTGGCCAACTGACCACATTCCAAGCCGTGCTTGTTGGCATGTAAAAGTGTATTGGAATCTTGTAGTGAAAACACTAACGTCTGTAGCGCCTGAAGCGAGAGTAAGCCTTCTGCCTCTGACACCCACGCCATGTGATCACGGCTCCTGAACTCCAGAAAATGAGCACATTCGGTCCCGAGGGTGGCCAATCACAGACGTCCACAAACTCCACTATTATCCAATCAACTGGCCAGGCTGACACTGACTGGATTTTTTGTGCGCTTATTCACTCACGCTCACACCGTGCTAACGAGTATACGCGCGCGCAGACCGCGCATCAGACGTTCTGGCCAGCACCAAGTTTTTGTACAGAATACACATCTACTCATGGTGCTTTTCCCATTCTCTCCCAAGGCGGGACTTGGCTGTAAATATTGCAGAGCTCTCAGTTCACTCACTACTTTACACGCCGCATGCCTAGTTCCGAAGTGAGTCGACGGAACGCAGTCTTCCCTACCTTGCTCCCCAAAGTGCTGTCGGAGTCATGTCAAACTGGGGTTAAATTGGGAGCAGGGACTAATGAAATATGGAGACGCCGTCTATTATATGCCATAGTGGGTGTATCTCAGTCATCAAAAACGTCTGGTCAAGACTCCGTTAGCAGAAGGAGGGATTTTGTGTGGAATTATGTGTAGCCTTCTCGGGCAGCAGTGGCCGGTGGGAAGACTGGCGCGCGTGTTTTCTGCGTTAAGTCATGCCCACTGACGAGTCGAACCCCTCGCTGACGCTTAATATAGCATCAGAATATCGATGAAATCCACGTACACCCCAAAACGAGCTGTGAGCACATACGTTGGACTAAAAGAGGCGTCAGATTGGTTAGCGGTACGAGTTAATGGATCTGCTTAGGGCCCGCGAACCAATTAATCTCCTCGGAAAGTTAACACGTCAGGATGAAAGTGGAGTTCATGTAGATGAAAACACGCGGAGAACGCTGGCGGACTCACTGATGTGTTGAACCCCTCGCAGTTGCGTTAGGCAGTGGCACAGGATCGGCAAAAAGTGCATGTCTGGGCTTTTAGCTAGTACCTATGCTGTCAGTATGATAAATAATTACATAATTGTAAATACTGCCGTACAGGGAAGGGGATATGGTGGCATGTCTGGACGTAGGCCTTGCGTTGTGTCAGACATTGCGCCTAATTCCATAACTAGCTAGTCAACAAGCTCGGACATTCGATTGATGCGTGAGGAAGAGTGAGGTCGGCATTGGGAGACCCATGCCTCATGGCAATTCAGCGCATTGCTCACTATAACAAATACGACGCGCCTGAATCTAGCACGACGCAGTAAAAGTTATAGCATGGAAGACTGCCGACTGACGCGGTAACTCGTTCGTTCTCAGAGCTTGGCATCAGGGTGCAATGGTTTCGGGGTAGCCTCTTCATGAAACCCCGGTTTGGTTGTGGGAATCAAGTCGTGTGTGACTCGCGTTGGCTGGGCGTTTAGTTTTGTCAGCCATTATGTCCGACCTCACCTCCTGCCTTCTTGCCACTGTCTTGCTATTGGAGCCAGGTAGATGAGAGAACAGAGGGTGCGGTAGATGCTGCGAAAGTCCACATCATTATGAACCAATATATGCGCAATTCACAATCCTCGCCCACTCTGCGTGAAACACGGCGGACGTCGTCGCGTTAATGGTGGTCGAACTGTCGTAAATAATGCTCGATATAAGTGGGTTTCATAAGGTCGACCGAGTTTATGAGTATGTGGGAGAAATTTCGAAGGAATTGTATCTGAGGGCTGTTTCACATTACATGAGGTAGGGGTGGCCACGTTTGCCTGAACGCCTGCATATGTCTGCTAGGGGTGTAGTGGTGTCCAGTTGTGAGTCCACGTGACGGTCGCAGTAGGCCGCTCACTTGCTTGCAGGTGCAGACTACGTCAAGCGTCCATTTACTGACCCTCAACTCTCATATGTGGCTCCACCAAGCCAGACTCTGCCTAGCGGCCTCACCCCGGTAACTGCCTCGACCGGTGGACTAAACCAGGCAAAGGTGTCCGTGTTTGAACTCCACACACGATAATCCGGCTCCGGTGCCCGGATGGATCACCGCATCGGTATCGCCGAACTGAGGCTCCGTCTGGAACACCTTAGGAGGTCACAAGGTAAGTAAGCCCCACGTAAGCGAATATTGCTCTGCTGCCTTTGTTTCGCTTGTTCATGTTTGCTTGTCCTCTACCTGCTTGCTTGTGTTTGTGCTTGTTGTAAGCTAAATGCCATTCTGTTGAATTTCCTCTCTGTGCCTCTGCTTCTGCTTGTTCTTGCTTGCCTGCCTTCGTCTGCCTGTTTCCGTTTGTATTAGCTGTACGCTAAACCGTTCTTTGAATCTGTCTACTTACCGCTTATATATTTCAGCAGCCAGTCCGATAAGAGAGGGACGGGTAAGCTCTGCATCCTGTCTCCCTACCCTCCCCTAACCCCCTTCCTTCAACTTACGCGATGTCGTACTCAGTCCCACGCTAACTCGGGTCACTCTCCTACTAAACAAAAGCCGTAGCCCATAGTGGAGTTCGGCAACCGTCTGGGACAAATAAACAGCCCTAATTAGAGAGAGCACTGCTCGCTCCCGCGAGGTGGACGGAACTAGAAAAGGTGCCCTAAACAAATTTTGGGATCACGTCCTCTGCGCGCTGACCGTGGCTCGCAGGCGCAAAACTCGCAGTCGAAACACTCGAACCAGAAACAACATTCTCTCTCTTCCCTCCCCGTCCTCCTCCTCCTCCTCCTCCTCCTCCTCCTCCACCTCCTCCCCGCCGTCCCACTCGCCTGGAATATTCGTTCCCACTTAGCCAACACGGGGAACAACCGACCGGAACGAAGGACGGCGCTAGTGGCTCGCGAACTGGCGCGCTACAAGGTGGATATCGCTGCATTCAGTGAGATCCGATGTTCCGAACAAGGCCAACTGGAGGAGGTGGGTGACGGTGACACCTTCTTCTGGAGCGGTCGCCCCAAGGCAGAGCGACAGGACGCGGGCGTCGCCTTTGACATCCGGAATGACATCATGAGACGACTGTCCTGTCTGCCGCAGAGTCTTAATGATTGCCTGAAGAGCCTCCGCCAGCCTCTCCAGAGAGGCAAATTCGCCACCATCGAGTGTCTATGCTCCCCCGATGACCAGTCCTGACGAGAACCTGCACGCCCTCCTGGCATATGTGCGGTAGGCGGATAAGCTGATTGTGCTTGGTGACTTCAGTGTCCGCGTCGGCACAGACCATGTTGCCTGGAGAGGAGTGCTGGGTCCTAATGGTCTCGCGGACTTCAACGACAATGGTCTGCTCCTCCTACAAACATGCGCAGAACACCGACTCACCCTGACCAACACCTACTTCCGCCTCCCGATGCGAGAGAAGGCCACCTGGATGTATCCTCGGTCACGACGCTGGCACCCGCTGGACTTTGTCCTCGTCCGGAGGCGAGGACAGCGTGTGTACTAGTGACAAAGGTGATTCCGGGTGCTGACGGGTGTGTAGCAGTTCGCGTCTCCTCGCTCTCCGCCTTTGTCACGCTGTCCTCCATAGCGTCGTCATCTGCAAGATGCGGATTCTCCCACAGCCTCACAGAAGACCCCAAGGTAAGCGACCCCAGGTAAGCTGAAAATTGCTTTGTTGTCGTTGCCTGCTCACCATCTCCACTTCAGCAATTAACTATCTCAAAAGCTAACCAGCCTTCTAATCCCCGACGCCGCAGCTGTCGCCGACGAGAACGCCTCTGTGGAGAACTTATGGTGTCAACTGCGGGATAAAGTCCAGTCGACGGCCCTGGCTGTCCTTGGTCGAGCGTGTCGCCAACATCATTACTGGTTCGATGACAACTACGCCGCCATCAGCAACCTGCTCGCCGAGGAGAACCGCCTGCACAAAGTCTACGTCAAACGCCCGACCGACGACAACAAAGCAGCCTTCTATCGTAGTCACCGACTTGCGAAATAGCGGCTGCGGAAGAGGCAGGACGCTTGGACTGATCGCAAGTCCGAGGAGATCCAAGAGTACGCGGACCGCAACGAATCGAAGGATTTCTTTTCCGCGATCAAGGCTTTTTATGGTCCCACAACCAAGGGAACTGCCCCTCGTCCCAGCGTCGACGGAATCTCCCTACCCACTGAGAAGACGCAAATTCTGAAACAATGGACCGAGCACTTCAGAGGCGTCCTCAACCGTCCCTCCCCCATCTCCGACGCCGTCATCGCATTCGTAGATCTGACGAAAGCCTTTGACACGGTGAATCACAAAGGATTGTGGAAAATCATGCAGAAATTCAGCTGGACCGAACGATTCAACCAAACGGTGCGTCAGCTTTACGATGGCGCGAGTCATAAACAATGGAGCTGTCTAAGGGGTATTCGCAGTGACCAACGGAGGGAAGCAGGGCTGCGTTTTCACACCCACCCTCTTCAGTGACATGTTCTCTGCCATGCTGATGGACGCCTACCGTGACGAACACCCCGGGACCCGCGTCGCCTACAGAAGGCACGGTGAACTACTGAACCACCGGAGGATGCACTTTCACTCGCGTGTCTCCAAACCAACGTCCACGAACTTCTGTTCGCAGATGACTGCGTCCTCAATGCAACTACTGAAGGGGACACGCAAATGAGCATGGATCTCTCCTCCGTCGCTTGCGAGAACTTCGTCCTCAGTATCAACACGAAGAAAACGGTGGCCATACATCGGCCGCCATTCAACACTGTCCACATTGCGCAGCAAATCAACGTGAACGGAACCCAGCTGCAAATGGTAAACAACTTAATGTATCTGGGCAGTGTCCTCTCCCGCACCACCAACATCGATGGCGAAGTGGCCCGCCGGATATCCAAGGCCAGTCAAACCATCGGCCGTCTTCAAAACACAGTCTGCTATCTTTACGGTCTTTAACTCAGCACGAAACTGAAGATGCGCAATGCCGTCATCCTACCGACGTTGTTATATAGAGCAGACACCTAGACGGTGTACATGAAGACGTTGACTCAACCACTTCCAACTCAGTAGTCTTCGCCGAATTCTAAACCTGAGTCGGCAGCACCGGAGCCCAGATAAGGAAGTACTGGGGCGGACGGGAATCCTCAGCATCCACGCTACGATGAGACAACTACAACTACGCTGGCGCGGCCACCTCGTACGGATGGACGACGAAAGGCTACTTAAAAGACTCTTCTATGGAGATGTCGCGACGGCCATACGCCGATAAGGAGGTCAAGTCCGGCGCGCCGTCCACACTCCGCCGCCCAGTGCGCCCACCGACCAGGAGATCCATCACACGCAGTGCACACTGCACATCCATCACGCTCAGCCCCACCCACAATCCGTCGCCGAGCGCGTCTACCACCGCCAGCTCCACCACCTCCACCACGGAAGCTGATACTGACACCACCGACTTCTTGTGTCCACACTGTTGCCGTACATCCGCCTCACGCATCGGCCTGGTCGGTCGCTTGCGAATCCATCGCACAGGGACTGGCGAACCAGTACCTGGAGCACCAACCTACAGCCGTCCCAGCCGTCTCCACTGTCCACATTACATTCTCACATTTATTCACCGCATGGGTCTAAAAGACAACAAGCGTGTCCACGAAAACCTACGGTGGACAACCGCCGGCTGCACCAAACCATCACACCCTCCCTTACCAGCATCTCACCGCACATTAACATCACCCACCGCAAGCGCCCAAATGCCCCCTCCTGCGCAAGTGGGAAGTGTGCGTCTCTACTGCTTCTCCGTGCGACTCCCCTGCTGCATGTGCGATCAGAATCTGAGACGAAGGCTGCGCTCTAGCGCCGTGTCTCGGAGGGCAGCCGAATGACGCCCCAACTCAGTCCACAC